AAAGCATTATGAAGACTAAATGATGGTTATTTATCATTCCAACCTTGGCCTTCACCACCAAGATACTAATACTTCTGGTGACTCAAAATCAAAAGTGAAATACAGGCGAAAGTTTTGGCTAAAACCAATAGACTTGGCCTTTTACTTAGAGAAGTTGTGATTATATATTTTGAGAAAATAAATTTATGTTGTACTTTATAGAATATCAGTAATTGCTAGTTTTTACAAGTCTGTGCCATCAATTGATAAATATAGCACTATGTCTCAAATATTACCCTGTTTAGAACTAGAATTCTGACTTTTCTGCACATTTTCATAGCCAATAGAAGTTGACTAGCTTTGATTTGAATGAAATTCTAAATTTAAAATATATTGAAATATTTACTGTTATAAGCTACCTGTAGCACTCCCTGGTTTCTGATAATCTTTTTTTCTTCTGATACTCTCCTACATCCTCTTTGAGAATCTCCAAGATACCATTATCCCCTTTATTTCTCTCTGTGTAGAACAATTATTAACATCTTCCATTTCCTGATTACTTACCCCAGAGTTTTCACACTTGGCCATACCATTTGGGTCCAGATAATTCTCTGTTGTGGGGCTGTCCTGTGTGTAGTAGGATGTTTAGCAACATCCCTGGGCTCCACCCACTACATTCCAGTAGCATCTCCCCATACTGACAGAGTATCTCCAGACATTGCCGGATGTCCCTGGTGTCAAAATCTTTGCCAACTGAGAACCACTGGTTTATCTTCTGCTAAATATTATTTTGTTTGACTCTATGATAACTTTGCAAAATATGTACAACTGTGTTACTCAGAGTCTTGGCGAGTAACAGAACCCACATGATGTGGGTCATAGACTTTTATGAAGGGAACTGCTTACAACAGCTTGGGGATGTTGAGGCACCCAGAAAATAGCTACAGCAGGAAACTGTTCCCACCCCTAGTGCTGAAGAAGCACAGAGAAGAAATAGGGTTGCTAGAGTGCTGAGAAAGCTGGAACCGTGGAATGGAGCCTTCAAGAGGGAGATGAAATCAGGAAGAGACAAAGCTATACCCAGTGATGCAGCGCTATAGCAGAGAGAACATAGGATACTTGGTCTCGAACTCCTCAATTCTTCGATCACTGGCCAGTCTTAGCAGTAGGCTGAGTCCAAACAAGACCCAAGCAGCAAAGGAATGGGATGATGCAACCCCAGGATTTGGTCTTGTAATCTTAGAGAAAGAAGGAAAATGCAATCTATTGGGATGTATGGAGGAAAAAAAAAAGGAAAACAAAAACTATCTCCATTTTAACATGAGAAACTGAGATTTAAAGATATAAAGTAATTCATCAAAGCCAAATACCCAAAGTGTAAACAGGCACTTAAAGCACATCTATTTCACTCCATAAACTATAACGATATCTTCATAACTGACTTTCATGAATGAGCAGACTGATAGTAGATGATAGATGCGAAACCAGAATCCTATTCTCATACCTACTCTGATGTCCACTTTTTTTTTAATGTTGACTATAGGAAGCTATTTAAAAGATGAATATCCAGCCTATTCTCAAATAGACACGTGGGAACAAAAGCTTTCTGCTGACCTGTGAAGTCATTTTCTGAAAAGCTTATGGAATTCTAGGTTTCCTGTAGAATGTTTAAGTGGCACATGCTGGTTTTCCAAGCTGTTGGCACATTTTCATCTTTACTGCAGATATTCAGCACTGGCCAGTGCAATGTGTGAGGAGGAGGGCTAGACTGGGTATCGGGATCTGGGGCTCAGTCCCGTCTCTGTCATTCCTAGCATAACCCTGGCAGTGGCAGCAATAATAAAAATTGCCTAAACCAAAATCACTGCAGATGGTGACTGCAGCCATGAGATTAAAAGACGCTTGCTCCTTGGAAGAAAAGCTATGACCTACCTAGATGGCATATTAAAAAGCAGAGACACTACTTCGCCAACAAAGGTCCATCTAGTCAAGGCTATGGTTTTTCCAGTAGTCAGGTATGGATGTGAGAATTGGACTATAAAGAAAGCTGAGCACCGAAGAATTGATGCTTTTGAACTGTGGTGTTGGAAAAGACTTTTGAGAGTCTCTTGGACTGCAAGGAGATCCAACCAGTCCATCCTAAAGGAAATCAATCCTGAATATTCATTGGAAGGACTTATGCTAAAGATGAAACTCCAATACTTTGGCCACCTGTTGTGAAGAACTGACTCATTGGAAAAGACCTTGGTGCTGGGAAAGATTGAAGGCAGAAAGAAAAGGGGATGACAGAGAATGAGATGGTTGGATGGTATCACCAACTCGATGGACATGAGTTTGAGCAAGCTCCTGGAGTTGGTGATGGACAGGTAAGCCTGGCGTGCTGCAGTCCGTGGGGTCACAAAGAGTTGGACACAACTAAGCAACTGAACTGAACTGAAACCTTTTTCTTCCCTTTTGCATTCACCCAAATCTTCATAGTTATTCTTAGGTATCTAGTCCTGTGGCCAAAGTTCTGTGAAATAAGGAAGATGTTAGAGTTTCATATTTGAATTCACAAATGTAGAGCCAGGCTCAGAAAGCACTAAAATCACACTGAAAGTCTCATAAGTGGGATGTGTGGTCCCAATTCCACATATTCCTGCTGAAACATGGTGCCTTTTCTACTCCATCTTTGAAGTGATCGATCAATTGGTTTACTCCCTCTGGAGAGCGAGTTTGTAACATCTGAATCCATTAGACTTCATCATAAAGTCATGTCTAGATCAAGATCTAAGAATCTGTGATTTTTATCTTAGGCTTATAAGCAAGATGACAGCAGATACCAGTATATTAATAGTTAGCATATAGGGATTCATTTTTTTATTTGAAATGGAATATATTTATTAACCTACAACTTATCAGAGGCAAAATTGGTGTTTTTAAAGGCATTTAAAAATAAATATATGGGGGTGGGTGTGTGTATGTTAGTCACTCAGTCATGTCTGACTCTTTGCGACCCCATGGTCTGTGGCCCGCCCAGCTCCTCTGTCCATGGAATTCTTCAGGCAAGGATGCTGGAGTGGATAACCATTCCCTACTCCAGAGGAATCTTCCCAACCCAGGAATCAAGCCTGGGTCTCCTGCATTGCAGGCGGATTCTTTTCAATCTGAGCCACCAGGAAAGCCCAGGTATGGGGATAGGGTGGGGATCTAGGTGAAATAGAATATAGTTCCATCTTTTCCCCTTTATTCACAGGTATGTTGTATACTAGTAATTCAGATTCAGTCTTCTCTGCTAAGATCAAGTGGGTTAAGGAATGTCTGCACTCCTGGAAAGTCTGGCAAGAACTTTAATCCTTCCCCCAAACTATTACCCTTCTTTGCTTCAAAGTGGGAGGCCCAGGAAGTAAGACCTTTGTGGTCTCTAGTCACTGGGCTTCTTGTACTCATTCCTGATTTCTACCCTTATCTCCTGTCCATTTTTTACCTTTACAATATTTCCAGGTCCCCCCCCCCCTTTTTTTTTTACATTTTTAGTGTTTGGGGGCATAAAAATCAGATGTGAACACCCCGCCCCCAAATTAACTTTTTAATTTTATCTAGCCAGTTCCAAGAAAATCTAGGATTCTCAGTCCAAGGTAGATCTAAAAAAAGAGGTGTTAGTGAGAGAAGAACAAAAAGGAAACTAAAGTATTTAATATCAAAAATAAATGAGTAATAGAAGATTGTAAGTTATACTTTTGATATCCTCTGTAATTGGGCAGAACTATAAAATTCCTTCAAAGAAATAATTTTATCTGCTCCAGAATTCTAGCTACATTATAACATTGTATCTGATATATGTGATTAGTAATGCTTTGGAAAAGCAGTTCTATAATTGTTCTGCTGTTCCTACATAAAGAAAGGTTGAAGAGCAGTATTTTCAGTGTTATAAGATTAGATGTGAGCTAGGTTATCTGGGTACAGATGCTGGCTTCATCATCCCTTTTTACTTTGATGACTTTGGGCAAGTTATTTACATCTCTGTGTTTTGGTTTCCTCACTGATATAATCAAAGTGTAAGTAGACTCTGTCCCATTAGATTTTCTGTGGTTAAAAAAGTTAACATTAACAAAGATTTCAGTACAGTAGTGGAACATAGTGATCACTGTACAAATGTTAGTTGTCATCAGAAGCATTGTTTTCCTAATTATCATCATCACTACCACCTCCATCATCATTGATTTCTATTACAAAATCAATCCAATGTTTCCATTCTTCTAAAGTACAATCACTTCAAAACTCAATGCATGAAGATAAATTATAGAGCATCACTCTTTAGAATAGTGTAACTAAAGAAACACATATTTATGAATAATGTGCTTTTGTATTTTGGAATATATAACCTAACTCAAGAACTTTACCTATAAGACTTGGCCACCCTTCCTTTCTAATTGACTGTGTATTCACTGTATTCAAAGGTTTACTCATAGTGATTCTACTTGGTTTTGTGTTATTATACTAAGTGTATTTTCCCAGGATTTCAGGTTAGAAACTACTGACAATGAAATATTTCAGGAGTCAGAATTAGACATAAATTATTTTCTGCAGCAGTGTCTTCCTATTACCAGAAGTCAGCCAAGAGTCTCTAAAATCACATTAGGGTACTGTTTTAGTGGTTCTTGAGTTTCACCCTTGAGAGAATTAAAAGAACTGACAGTGAAGTATAATAAATCTTATTCTGACCCAAACACTCTCAGTCATTTAACTTCCCATTAACAATCCCAATTCTGCTAGATAAAATAAGTAGAAAGTATGTTTTTACTCTCTTTCCACTTTACATTTAGAGATGTAGAATAATATTTCACACACTTCATAAAAATAATTATGACATTTGTCTGTTTAATTAATTTATAATCAATGCCTTATTTACATGCTTGGGTTTTAATTTGACATGAGAAGGGACCAAGAAAAGGGTGAGCCTTTTTTTTTTTTTAATTACACAGGAGCAATTGGCTCTCCATTTTTTAATTTTTATCTATTTTCTTTGTCTCAATTCCCAGCCTCTGAGCCCAACTTGAAGGTGCGGTCCAGGTTAAAACAGAAAGTGGCAGAGAGGAGAAGCAGCCCCTTACTCAGGCGGAAGGATGGAAATGTTGTCACTTCATTCAAGAAGCGAATGTTTGAGGTGACAGGTAATTGAGGACTGGGTAGATACACACTGGAAAAAAAAAAAACAAAAACAACTGCTGCCAGTAGGAATGAAACAAAAGTAGCTTAGAATAAATATACCTGCTGTATATTAAAATTTATTTTGAAGAGAAACATTTCTTGAAAGGAAGTTATATTGAAAGCTCACAAGTAGTTCAGTAAACCTTGCCTTGCATTCACCAGCTGTGTTAAACAGGAAATGAATGAAAAACAGAACTATATGTCAATAGGCATAACTCGGGAATGCCAGAGCCCACCTTAATCTTTTCAGAAACAAGCAGTCCATTTTGGGAATGCCAAGCCGGAGAATATAACTTTTAATGAAATTTGATCAGAAATGAGCAGTGGGAGGTTCAAGAAGAATGCTTCCCCCATACTCAGATATTAATGTACAGAATACATCTGGGAAAATTAAACTATGTGAAACAGCAAAACCTTGACTTTTCAACAAATTTACTGAACTCATAAATGACATTATGTGTTTACTAGTGAACTGGGACTTGTGGCAGGAGGGGGATATAGTGCCTTTTGTGAAGGGAAAGAAACTGTCATTTTCACTAGTCTCAAATGGAAGAGTTCTTAGTTTTTTAGCTGCCTGGTTAGTAGTGGGGTGAACAGGTTAGGAAATTCAGCCCGATGTCTTACAAAGCCCTCTAGTCCCATTTGTACCTGGTCTGAAAAGACATAGGGATAGAAGAACCAAAAAGGCTAGCCAGAATAGCAAAGCCAACTACTGTTTATTGAGTAACTACTTAGAGCTATGCATTGTATGTGGCCATTTCCTTTGGTTGCATCAATATAGAAATGGAAATCTTGAGCCATGTTTGTCCATTCCCATGGAAAACTGTGCTTATATCAAAGTAGTCAGTTGGCATTATTTCTCTAGGATCTAATCTTATTCTTAAAAGTTTTTTTAAAAATTGTTTCTTTTATGTATCTTCTTTGGTCATAATAGTGTCTAGTTTAGGGAGACAATATGAAGACTTTGGAGACAGAGGTAGAAAAGTGTAGAATACCAATGAGGCAGTATTTTGACAGATCACTTGGGAGAAAAAAAATGTTTAGTCTCCTATTCAGTCCTGACAGATTAACATGTTTATCTGAGGAAAAGTATTGGTGAAATTTTTTTTTTCTTGTGGGATAATAAATACTAGATAAATAATTATTTTACTAGAGTTTATTTTCCAGTATCAAATATAATCAGTAGTTTAGACCAATTCAATAATGAATTTAAAGTTACAGACTTTTTTTCCCCAATAAACCTATTTGTATTTCATTAAGTGAAAATCTTAAGTAAGTTTTCATAATAGAAGTCCTTGATGGTGATGGGATGAATCTGTAGAGTGAATCTGTATTAATGAAAGTAAATGATAATGAATATATCAGTTGTCTAATGTCATGACCTATAGGTCATTCTTCTGATGGGAGGTTCTCTCATAACAGAAAAACTTAAAGAAAATAGAAACACATGTATATTGCTTTTTTGTTCTTTAAAATCTTATTAAGGTTTTATTTATTTATTGCAATGTTCTTTTCTATTTTTCTATTAATCTTTTTCATGATCGTAACTTTTCCCCCACATGGTCACTTTTACTTTCTTACCAAATTTCAGTGGAATTTAGCTCAATACTTAGCTGAGTAATAATTAATTCTCATTTATAGGGGTTATGATTTGCTAGAGTTCCACCCAGGTTCTTTACTTGTGAAATATCATAATTTTCTCCCATTTTGTGAGATAATAACTCCCCTTTTAAACTGAGGGAAAAAATCTTGTATTTGAAGAGACTAGACACACATTTCTGATCAGTGAGATGGGACTTATGGATGCTTTGGTTGATATTTTTAACTGTATGTAAAACTGGTATGCTTTAACTGATATTTTAACTTTATGTTGCAGTTAATCTAAATGTTTTTGGAGAATTTGAACTACTGGACACACAGTTTTCTGCACCTGTATATCCTCTTTCTCCATCAGTTTTCATTGATTAGGATGAGCTCCGTTTGGATCTTAGTACTAATTATTTTTGCTGTCCAGTCAGAAGCCACCATAGCATCATAGCAGTTGAATTGCCACTGCTGTTCATGTCTCACCTCTGTCCTCTCTCTTCCCTGTTTCATAGGTTCAGTTCTTTGCTTTTTTCCAAACCCATGCCACCTCTCTCCTCCCAGTAGTTGACATGAGAGCCACATGTCATTTTCCCTGTTTTCAAATTCAAGGGTCTTCTGCTCTTCCCCCTACAAAGCCATGCCATTTTAAAAATTCTAGGTCCTGGCACATTCCTGTGCCTGCAACGTCTTCTCCTCCGCTCTCCCCTCCTCCACTGCCCCCATTTCATGAGTTGCTCTTCTTCAAGTCCCAGTTGTGATATTAGTTCTACTTAGACATTTTTCTCAGTGTTCCCAGAAAATCAGTTGCTACCTCTTCTCCCAGACCATATCCAGTGTTATCTTGTAGAATCCTGTGGTAGACTCTATCGTCTTACATTCTAGTATCTGCCATAGTGATTTCTATTCAATATATAAGGCAAAATTTCAGTATGACTATCACATAAAATAATATAAATAATATACTTTTAAATTGACAAGACATTTTAAAATAGTTTTCTTTTTATTTGTTTATTTTTTAAAGACAGGATGCAGAATGGGACTTCAATGAGAAATCAGTGTGTAGTCATACAAGAAAGACAAGAGTTCAGAGTCCAGGGGAAACAAATTCCTGAAGGATTTTTTTAATGTTCATTTTCTTTCTTAAAAATAAACAAGAAAGAGGCACATATAAAAAGTATATTAATCAAAATGTAAGCAAGATATGTAGACTGAAAGGCAGTGAGCAAAATATATTTAGGAACTTTACGATACCAGTGACTTGAAATCCCATAGTAAGTAGGTGGTATGATCAGAATTCTGTCATCAGTCTCACATTCTTTCTATTGGTGATACACTTCTGAGTAGAGAAGTATTTATAATAGAAAGTTGAAAGTGGTAAGTGTTCCAAGGGAAGGCAAGCAACTATAGCCTGCAAATTGGGCGCTCTCGTTTACAGGGGACAGATGGTATATGAGCCAGGCTTTGAACATAGAGGTGGGATTGACCCTGTGATGAAGTAGGTGGAGAAATAAGAGCATAAAAAAGCCTGAAATGGGAAAGTGGCACATACGGGGAGTAGGCAATTTAAATTTGACTGAGTGCAGAGTTCAGAAAGGGCAATAGTAGGAAATAATGTCAGGCTCCATTTTGGAGCAGAGGAACATAGTTAAAGTTGTCTCACTCTGATCCATCTGGCAGCAGTTTAAGGAAAGTTTGGAAGGACTGCTGTAGCAACTCAGAAATATTAGGAGATATTTTATGTAGTCCATGAGAGGATAATGAGGGCTGAGAGATTAAACTGAAATCTTTGTAGTCAGAAGAAGATGAAAAATAATGGAAAGAACAAAACAAACTGACCTAGTAATTGATTAGATTTGGAGTAAGGAAGGGAATGAGAATGACTCCAAGGATGACTATAAACAGAGTTAAGCAGGGCACATTTAATATTAAAATACACTGAACTCAACATACATTAAAGAGAGATTAACAATGTCCAGCATTCCAAAGGGATTCAGACTGGAAATTCTGAGAGGGAACAGCAAGAAATACAGCTTTTATGGGAGGAAATATTGAAGGCAGAGGAGAAGGGGACAACAGAGGGATGAGATGGTTGGATGGCATCACCAACTCAGTGGGCATGAATTTGGGTAAACTCCGGGACTTGGTGACGGGCAGGGAGATCTGGCATGCTGTGGTTCACGGGGTCACAAAGATTCGGACACGACTGAGTGACTGAACTGAACTGAATGCAAGGATTCTGCCTAAAAATGATAGTTGGTGTCGTAACTTTGAATTGTTTTGACAAGGGAAAGAGAAATAGGATAAGGCTACAAACTTTGGTGAATACCTACAATTCAGGAATTGATTGAAGGAGGAAAAGCCAGAGAGATGGAAAAACAAACTTGGAAGTAGAGAATTTCATTGTAGAAAGGATGAGGAGAATGAGAATTGTTTTGTCAAAACTGTTCAGATTTGGTCTTTTTGAGAGAACAATTGCTGTCCACAATAAGTAAGCTAGATGGCCAGCTCTTAAAGGAATGAGCACATCACTTCTTACAAGTTACTAGCATGCTTTCAGACTAGAGGGACAATTCCAGTGGAAAAGGAAAACCTGAAGATTCAAAATAATTGATGGAGCAAAATCTTAAAGCAGATGTTCGGGGGTTGGGTCATGGGTGAAAGTGTATGTGACAGTATTGGAGCAGGGAGCAGAAGAGAAATGTTTTCACTTTGATGTGGGCAAGGAGAATGTGTATAACAGAATCATGAGGTAGAAAGAAATATCACTGATGGAAATCATTTAGAAGTTGTCAGTCTCCAAGAAGCATGAATCAAGATCATTTTGTGCAGAGCTGAATAGACAAAGGATGAGACACCTAGAAAAATGTTGAAATGAAAGAACTATGGAAGGTAATAGGGAATTGATTAGAGCTCAACTAATAAGTTGCCAAAGCTTGATAAGGTGGCTTCTCTTAGCTATATTTCTAGGATCTGGAAGTTTATGTTTCATTAATTAGATATTCTAGTAAGTGAACTACCTCCGTCATAAATTGAAATGCATTTGAATTTTATATCAAGATGACAAAGATGATCTATATTGTTGTTATTTAACTTTTGGTAAATGAATTTCTTGTTATATTGGTCTTTAAAATTGAACATATTAAATTTAGACAGCTTCTCATTTTCTGGAAAATAAGTTGGGTAGAGTTAAGATTAAACAATGTTGTACAAGGCGATCAGTGTGACACTGAGATTTTATCTTCTACTGTATTTTCTTCATATAACTTTGACTAAGATGTGCTGTAATAAGGTATAGCCTTAGTATATTAAATAAAGAGCTATTTATAACATAGAATATAAGCAGTTTTTCCACATACCATGGAAATGGTTCCAGGCCTTATGTGCTGATGGCATGTTTTTATGAACTATGCAAGTCTATTATAGTTATACTTTTTTATGATAGCACAGAGGAAGTAATAGAAGATTATTTTTTTCCTAATCAAAAGCTTCTATAATCCTCTCTAACTGAATATGTTCTCTAAAATTATTGAATACTATGTTGTATTTTTAGCAGTGAAAAGAAGAGGAGAAAAGTGATACAAAAATTTAGAACTGTTCCAAATTTTTTCAGGGTTCTTGTTATTTAGTGACATGGTACTTGTCATTCATGCTGGGGGAGAAAACAGTGTCTGTTGCTGTATATTACTTAGAGTATAACCACAGTCCATCTCTGTATGTTTTTCATGAGTCTATTTGTACTTCCCATTGTTTTTCAGAATCTTCAGTCAGTAGCAGTTCCCCAGGATCTGGTCCCAGTTCACCAAACAATGGTCCAACTGGAAATATTACTGAAAATGAGACTTCAGTTTTGCCACCTACTCCTCATGCTGAAGTAAGGCTCTTATTATTTTGGTTGTTTTGGAAGTTAAATCTTTGATTAGCCCCCTAAAATTCAGTGATATTTCTGAATTGAAGTTTAAAGCCACCTGACCTTAGTTACTTTTCTGATAGGTTTATAATGTGTGGAACTGAGTAAATGTGATTTATTTACAAAGATTGGATGATAATCACAGGTTTGAAAATACTGAAATTTAAAAAAAAAAAAAGAAAAAGAAAATACTGAAATGTAATCCTCAAAAAAAAAAAAAAAAACCCACATACTCTTAGTTATGCTGAGGATACACTCACTGCCCAGTAACTGCACAATCCTGAAGTCCTTCTTCATGTGTCTTGGTTATTCTGCTGTGAGTAGACACATCAGTAAGTGAAAACAACTTCATGCAAACTTTTCAGAAAAACAGTTGCCCAACAAAGTAGTTTTTATCCATTTGACCTGAAGAGTAATGAAAAATAGTTGTAGTATCATAGTTGAGGAACAGAGTTCCACTAAGCAAAGTGTTGAGGACCTTCTATATGCCATTCATTTTGCCTGGCAGTGAGGATAGACAGATAAATGATATGTGAACTCTGTCCTTGAAAAACAAAAGATTCAAGAAAAAGGGTCTGAAATTACACATGATTTGTTGAAGCCAGTGATACAAGAATAGAAAACAGTAAATTTGGAAGTCAACAAGAATTTGTCTGTGTGTATAGACAATAGAGTGAGAAAGACTAGAGATCTCTTCAGTAAAATTGGAGACACCAAGGGAATATTTCATGCAAAGATGGGCACAATAAAGGACAGAAGGGACAGAAATGGCAAGGACCTAATGGAAGCAGAAGAGATTAAGAAGAGGTGGCAAGAATACACAGAAGAACTATACAAAAAAGGTCTTAATGACCCAGGCAACCACGATAGTGTGGTCACTCACCTAGCACCAGAAATCCTGGAATGGGAAGTCAAGTGGGCCTTAGGAAGCATTATGACAAATAAAGCTAGTAGAGATGATGGAATTCCAGCTGGGCTATTTCAAATCTTTAATAATGATGCTGTTAAAGTGCTGCACTCAATAGAGCCAGCAAATTTGAAAAACTTGGCAGTGGCCACAGTACTAGAAAAGGTCAGTTTTCGTTCCAATCCCAGGGAAGGGCAATGACAAAGAATGTTCAAACTACCGTACTGTAGTGCTCATTTCAAATGCTAGCAAGGTAATGCTCAAAATCTTCAAGTTAGACTTCCAACAGTATGTGAACTGAGAACTTCCAGATGTACAATCTGGCTTTAGAAAAGGCAAAGGAACCAGAGCTCAAATTGTCTTCACCCGTTGGATCATAGAAAAAGCAAAGGAATACCAGAAAAACATCTGCTTCATTGACTGTGCTAAAGCCTTTGATTGTGTGGATCATAATAAACTGTGGGAAATTCTTCAGGAGATAGAAATACCAGACCACCTTACCTGCCTCCTGAGAAACCTGTATGCAGGACAAGAAGCAACAGTTAGAATTGGACATGGAACAGGAGAAGCTGGTATAGTAACTTCTCATATATAACTGTGACATGCGTCTTCCATTGTACTCTATAGAGTCATGATACTTTGGAGCTGAAAGAGATTGATCCGATATCTGATTCTTGAATCATCTGCTTTTCTTATATGTGATTATCAGACTTCCACTGGAGCACTCTTATTCAAAGGGAACTCACTTCACTGTTTCCTCAAGCAATCTAGTTGATTTTGGACAGTCAGCTTGACTGATAAAAAGTATCTTCTATATGTTATGCCAAAATATATATCTATAATTTTATACATACTAACATAAATGTATAATAAATTATTTATAAGTCATAAATTATCTGGCTAATTGAAAGCAGACACCCAGAGGTTATCCGTGATAGGGAAAGACCTGGAATCAGTGAAGTCACTTCTTACTTGAGTCTTGAGTTTTGGTTTTCAGAAGAGAGAAGGCAAAGTCCTGTACTGACCAAAGAAGATGATCTAATAGGAGACCACCCAACCCATGACCCATATTTATGCTACATTGGTGGGTCCCTCATCCCCACCGCCAAACATGTCTTGATGTAGACCAGGGCAGGGGCACACTCTCTCCTTGAGGGGTTGTAACCAGAATATATAAGGCTGTAGCCCAAATTTTTATAACTTCAAATTGTTAATTTAAAGAGCCCCAGATTTTTAGTTTCCTAGGTATCTGGAAAAAGCAAATGTAAATCCTTTCTAGATGAATACATGTTCATTTTATTTTACTTATTTTTTAAAGATTTATTTATTTGTTATTTGTTTTATTTTTTGCTATGGTGGGTCTTCATTGCTACACATGGCCTTTCTCTAGTTGCAGCGAGTAGAGGCTCGGAGAAGGCAATGGCGACCCACTCCAGTCCTCTTGCCTGGAAAATCCCATGGACGGAGGAGCCTGATAGGCTGCAGTCCATGGGGTCGCTGAGAGTCGGACATAACTGAGCGGCTTCACTTTCACTTTTCACTTTCATGTGTTGGAGAAGGAAATGGCAACCCACTCCAGTGTTCTTGCCTGGAGAATCCCAGGGATGGAGGAACCTGGGGGGCTGCCATCTATGGGGTCACACAGAGTCGGACACGACTGATGCAATTTAGCAGCAGCAGAGGCTACTCTCTAGTTGTGATGCGTGGGCTTCTCCTTGTGGTGGCCTCTCTTGTTGTGGAGCATAGGCTCTAGGTGTGCAGACTTCAGTAGTTGCAGCACACGGGCTCAGGAGTTGTGTCTCGTGGCATAGGCTCTAGGTGTGCAGACTTCAGTAGTTGTAGCACACGGGCTCAGGAGTTGTGTCTCGTGGCATAGGCTCTAGGTGTGCAGACTTCAGTAGTTGCAGCGCACGGGCTCAGGAGTTGTGTCTCGCGGCATAGGCTCTAGGTGTGCAGACTTCAGTAGTTGCAGCGCACGGGCTCAGGAGTTGTGTCTCGTGGGCTCTGGAGCGCAGGCTCAGTAGTTCTGACACACAGGCCTAGTTGCTCCGAGGCATGTGAGATCTTTCTGGGCCAGGTATCAAACTGGTGTCTCTTGCATTTCAAGATGGATTCTTAACCACTGGACCACCAGGGAAACCTCTCACATTCATTTTGGACTTCAAAATTTTCTCTCAGTTTTCCAAGGAAAATGAACAGAATAGATAGGAAACTCTCTTACTTGTGACCATCTTTCAGCCTTGTGAAGAATACTATTCAAGCCACTACATTTTCTCCAGACCTCCATCTATTTCTTGTTTCTTACCATCCCATTGTCCCTTTGCTTTTCATTTTTCTTTCTAAACACGACACCAGAGGAAATAAATATTTCACATATATTTGTGACCATTGACATAAGGTTCTTAAGACTATTAATTATAGGCATTGTATTTCTGTTAGTGCAATTATAAATTATATCTCAACATCAGTCAGTTTTCTGCAACCCTTTAATGAATTTTCAGAGAAAGTACAACTTGGTCACAAATATTTCTAAAAAACTTTAGATTTCCATTTCCTCTAGCTTAAAGAATGTGATTCGGTAGCACAAACACTAAAGGATCTGGATTCTAAAATGGCTCTGGATGAATTCTATGTTCTTAGGAAATGAAAACACACTAAACTACATTCATTCAACAGCATTCATGATTTTTCAAAATGCATTGTTCAAAGGTACAGAAGACCACTTATAGCTTGATGGTATTTTGTGAAGATTAGAAACAGCAGTTCAATGTTTTGATCAGGAAAACATATGTAGATAGCAGTATATTTTTTAAAAAATCAAAAGAATTTTTAAAAATCAAAGGGTTAATGAACACAAAATTTAGCATGATGGTTACCTCTCAGGAAGGAGAACAGTGGAGGGGACATGGTTTGCTACAAAAAATGATGATACATATATACCTTCATTATAAATACAAATATATGCATGCAGTACTTAGTATAACAAAGAAATACATATTCATAAGACTTGAAATAAATGGGAAAAGATGAGATTTTCTCTTTACTTCAAGATTTTTAAAACCTGTTAAGTAGCTCACATTGTGTGACCCTATAATTAAATTTAAAAAATAGGTACAATGGAGACTGTAAATTAAAGGAATTTGCTTGTATTATTTTAATCTGTTTTATACTTCTAAAACCTTTACTGATACCTAAACACAAATATCTGTTTAGATATTCTTTCCTTCTACCTCCACCAGTTTAAAAAAAAAAAAAAAACAGAAGGAAATGTGATTTAATGGAGTTTGAAAGAGTAGAGGTATTTCTTCAGGTCAGTGACAGGACATTCACCTCCAGAGCTGGGAAGACTAGTTCAAAAGCAAGCAGTGACTTACTTCATAATGAATTAATTGTGTGCCTGAACTATGATCCAAAAGGCCAGGTGGGCAGACCTTTATGCACTGATGGGTAGCCTCTCCATGGCCCAGAACAAAAAATCCAACCCTGATGACTAACATGTGCTTTTCTGCTGCATTGCATTTACAGAGGTCTGTAGCATAATTCATACTGGGGAGGTGAGGAGACAGCAGAATTCAGACTGAAACTGTCAGCAAATTAATATGCTAGCTTTGTATCACCAAATCCTTCCCCTAAACTAAAGAAAAGTGGGAAAAAAATGTTTTTCAGCCAGTTTTTGATTAATGATCATTTTGAATTGTGTGATATTTACAGACACCCTCTAATATTAATAATAGCATATAATTTCATATCAAAAGAAATATTTGGGGGTATGAAAAATTTACATCATTACACTTTCAAAAATTATATTAGTTGCATACTTTACCATTTATAAAATAGGTTTATTCTACCATCTTTGCTTAAGTAGCAAAGTTTTGCAAAGCAGGTGAGTTTTCATTTTTAAAATAGTGTAACAGTGTACTTGTGAATCGACTCTCTATTCTGTGACCTGAAATTAGAAAAGCATGTCACGTAATTCTTTCAGATCCCATGTAGATGAATGGGATTCTACTCCCATTTTACTGTTTAGGAAATAGGAAAGTAAAACTGTATTTCAGGC